GCCAATATAATTTCCAAATAAAACTGGTGATAAGGAAGTGATGGGTAATATGCTGAAGCAGTTCTTAAATAAAAAAGAGCCACTGCTACTTTATGAGTGTAAATACTGAATGTATGTGTTTTCCTATGCACACAGCAGATTGAGCACAATATGCAAAGTCTAAGTCAAAAGCACTAACAGCCATGTAATTACGTCGCTGAGTCACCAAGCTTAGCTGTCACAGGTTAAAGTACTGCCTCTCCACAATTATTACCACTTGTTCGTGTTTAGTGAGAGACAATTTGGCAAGATGGATGAATTAAATCACTGTTTACTGATATTCAATCATTTGAAGTTTCAGAAATTCCTTGATTAAAAAAGAAAATCAGTATTTTGTCAAAATTTGATTCTTTACATTAAGGTTAGACCATGTCTATGGAATTGACATATGGTGATGTCCACAGCTTTTGTACAAGTATTTCATAACACCAGTAATTTATCAAGTAAAAACACAAAGCATTTCATTGTTAAAGCTTTGAATAAAGTGATGATTATTGTTGCCTTCTTTGTCTTTTTTTTTACATCCCTATATATCAGTTATCTTTGGAAAGTTGGTTAGAAAAAAAAAAACATTTATCAGTTGTTTTTTTTTATGCTCTAGCAAGTTAAAAGTAATTTAGATGTTTCTAGAGATATCAATTCTGATTTATGGAATTCTGTCATGATATACTACCCTGATTTGTCAGATATTTATGAACTTCACTTGATCTGCCAAATAACATTTCCAACTAGTCATCATTTTAATTTCTAGGTAATGTACTATTTCAAGAATTATGTCAATAACGTAATTATAGTTGATGAAGCTGGGGGCCTTGCCATAGAGTCATATGGCAATCACAGACGCACAACATGTCCTGACACAGGTCAGTTCTGTACAAACCATGGCTCCCAACCAGCCACTTCACTGACCGATGTTATTATTCACTCCAATGATGCATTATTAAATGCTAATATTCTGCCTTCTGACCCATGTCTGCGCTCCGGATCTAACTACACTGTGCAGCTCATGAAAGGGGTTAAAACAGGACACTAAAGGGTGCACTGAAAGCCAGATTAATGAACTTCCGCACCAGATAATTGGTGTTAAAGATGCTTGTTATACAACTGCCTGGTGAACACACAAAGGTCCTGGTCCCAACTGTTCAGCCTTGCAGTCGGAGGAATGGACAAAGCATTTCTATTTTCTCTCTTTTTCCCCACTCCAGCAGCAACACCGCTGTACTCTTTCAGTCTCCTCAGACACATCTAATCTTCTCATCCCATGCTGCTCAATCTTCCTATAGTCAGTTAACCCAGCAAAGACAGATTAATGAGAAATTAATCCCTTTAATTCACTGTAAAGGTCTCCTCTCCTTTTAACAAGATAAGCCGCTACCAGACTTTGCCAGATAATGATAATAAATTTAATTTATAGGGTCCTTTATATTACACAGCATGTTCGTCTCAGTGTGGACTTCAGCTGACAGTGAGAGCAAAGCCAGATAAGATGGCTTTAAGCTGAACGTTCTCTCTATCTAAAGCTCCTTCAATCCATATATCAAGTGGTTTGTATCCCTCCAAAGTAAAAACATGGAACACAAAAGAACAAGTCCATCAATTGATTAGTTTGTCGACAGAAAATTAAACTTTTGTGTTAATCAACTCACCTTCTTGGTGATCCATCAAGCAGAAATGCCACACATTGCTCGCTTCGGCTTTAATTTGAGTCATTGTGATTTGAATTATCTACCTTATGCTGATATTTTATAGCCTCAAGGATTAACTGATTCATTCAATAATCGGCAAAAAACAAACAACAAGGCTAATCAATAATGAAAATAACCATGACTGGCAGCCCTACACAGAAAAGGGAACAACTCAAATACATTTGATAAACTAACAAACAAAACTTTTTCAGCAATGCACTTTTTCCTGCTGGCAAGGGAGTTTCACCAAGTGACGCTTGACTTGTTTTTCCATCTGTGATAAGCTATGGTTCCTCATTTACTTCTGAGATGAGTAATTAATCATTAAAGAACAACATGCAAAACACAAAGTGAGTGCTCGACGAACTACACCAGATCCTATAGCGATGCACGTATTGCTCCACTGTAGGTGGCTATTTCCTGCTTTGCCATGTCACTACTTTGTTATCAGCTACTGCCTTACAGGTGACTCATGCACACAATGAACAATGACACCACACATCAACCTGGTTGCCTGGCAACCAGCATGGCTCTAACTGTCTGCGCAGAAAGAGAGGGCTGATAGAAATCTTAGAAAAGACCAGACACTGTGGGGAGCATCATTTTACCAAACTTTCTTTCAGAAACTCCACAAAGCATCAAAAGTTACATCAAAGTGAAAACTAGAAACTAGACCAGTTTGTCCTCGCTTCATTGTCCCTGAAGTACTTCGAAAATGGTAAGCAAAGACAGTGCTTAACGCAGCCAAACAGCAAAAAAGTTAAACAAAACATTTGCAGCTACATTAAGCCACTTCCAGATGAGAAGACTGCTGAACTCAATGACTGAATATCTTTTCCGAATCCAAAACTTTAAACCCACGTCATGTTGCCACTGAACAGGTGTGCTGGGGTGTGGAAAGGCCTTCTAAATCTTTCTGTTCAACATCATCAGAAAAACCTGTGTATGGAAAAGAACTGTCATGTTTCCCTGTGTGTAATGTGTTCTACAGTGTCATTGTTTTGTTGTCCCCTGTATATTCGTGGTCATTCAACAGTTAGAGTAGAAGCCTCTGATATGTGCCTTTACCATGCTTTGTCAGCAAACACTTCCCAAGCACTTTCTGGAGCTGCTTCACAGTAAACACATCCAGCAGTTTAGAGAGCAAAAACAATACTGTCTCTTACTAAAGCCTCCCTTTTATTGCTTCAGTCCTACATAAACCAATTGCCATTTTTTAAATGTAAACCAAACTCAAATGAGACCACAGGTTGCGGGAATGCTAGGAAAACGTAATAAATTACACTAATCATGGCGACACCGCAGTAATGTGGAGCAATTTGGATGTCCTTAGTCATAGTCATAACGCCACATTAAAGAGCCAATTTTGGGTGTCAAGTTCAATCCAAAGGGCATTCAAACCATGTATGGTGAGACAGATAATGTATATTATTTGTTTTTTGACCTTTTACCAAAACAATCACAACATACCTGATAAGGCATGACGAATGACATCATAAAAATATTAACAGTGGTTTCAATATGTTTCAGATTAGTATGAGTATGAGTATGAGTCAGATTCTGAGTCAGAATTTATTAAAACTAAATTAGTCAGAATTTTGTGAAAGATGTAAACATGTATTAATCAGCATAAAAAATAACAGATGTAAAATAGCCTCTGCTCTATCAATGTTCATTTGCATGCACAAGATTGTGATGTACATTAAGGTTTTATCTCTCTCAACATCCAGTTAAGGTTGCTTTGGCCTACTTGCTACCCAAGTGAAACAAATGCCTTCAGCACTACTTGAGTATTCCCATGCTTTCCAGTACGATCTCTCTACCAAGCTGGATACCTGTGGTTTCCCTCCATTGTGTTGTCAAGCTAGTGTCAGACTATTTTCACACTGGAGGAGCCAAACCAAAGCCTGTTTTCCTGCCAACAACAACAGCTGCCATGGCAGCACACTGGGAGGTCCACTTTATAGGAGCGGGTCACTTCTCTGAAAAGGGCAATAAGAACATTTTGCACCTTATGCTCAACTGTGTCGCACACATGTATCTGAGAGTGGGTGTCCTGCTGGAATTATCTTCAACTATTAACTCTAACAACACGCAGATACAGACTGGACTCCAGCTGCCACTGGCGTTGTCACTAGCCTATGGTTAATGTAATAGAAAATGGCAGTTATTTGAAATGATGTGTAAGAAAAACTGAAATGATGGCTGCATTCACTTCCTATAAGCCTTATCTCAATGTTATGTTTTGCTGCAAGTTTTGCTCTCAAATTCCTTTGAAAATATTAGGTGATAAAATGCAAACATGTGTGCCCATGTTGCCTGTGTAGCCCCGTGCGTGGTGTTTTGAAGGTATCATCGATTAATCTCAGCACACCTACCAGTTCATCACCATAATCCTCAAATACCTCTACACCACTGGCACAACCTATATTAGGTTGCTAAGCCAAGTGCTGCCAGGCTGACAGACACACTGATTAAGATTAAGTCTACTTTCTGGAGCTGAAAAAGCTGTAAATCTTAGGTTTACACAGCAGAAAGGGGGAGAGGGAGGGGGGTGGGGGATCACACTCCAATGCATTGCTTCAAAGAGAACTTGATGGAGCACATGGGAGACCAAACCTCCCGCCAGGCAGGCCAAGCCCAAGACTGTACAAAGTCTGAACGTTTAGACTCCAAGGTGCTTTTATTACTGGCATTCATACCGTCTATGTCTAAATGACTTAGTGACTCATCAGTGTCACATCACTGTCTGCCTCAGTCTGATGTCTTGTGCCATTCTCTGGGGCTTCAGTTGGAAAGTTCAGCTAGTACTCCAACCACTACTCAAAGCATCAACTAGTGCATTAAGTGTACAATAATGTCGCCTATATACTTTACAATTTAACTTTTACTACCAGGATTGGTTGGCAAAATACCCCCAAAGTGACCATTACACTTTCACAGTTATGGTGCCCTCTGCAATTCGGCATCATAATTAAAAACCAACCCACACATACTTAATTAATGTTTCAATTCACATAATTTAGGCTTATATCACCACAGTCTTCCATCAACATTAGCTTCACCAGAGTGGACAGCGAACCAGTTCAAAAAGTTGACGCTTTGCTGATCTAAGTTGCTGCTAAGTCACTCATACATATGCCGAATACAGCAGAAGACCTCAGTCAATCTTACGACACTTTATGTCGTTTTCTACCACATATGCTTATTGACTGAGAAGCGAAGATGTGAAAACTTGCGAGATTTGAAATGGAGTTTTGTCAACATTCAACTCACCCGTATTCTTCGCATCGCAGCCACGATCTCAACTCGACTGCTCGGCCGCGTCACATCCAGACTGCCGATGTACTGTTGTCAGGGGGGTAAAACGTGACAGGTACACCACATTAATGAAACAATAAGTTGGTATTCACTTGGTTTTTATTTAGTGAAACAGTTCAAGTGTCCAGTGAAGGTAATTAACTCTGCGCAACTGGAATCTCTCAACTAGCTAACAACTTAACTAACGTAATTTACGAGCTAGCCGAATCTCCCAGGACTGGATTTTGGTCCCAAAAGAGTTGTCTGGCGTTACTAACTTAAACAATTTGACAATATAGTTACATAATGCAGTGTTTGGTTGTTTAGACAGGTTGACTAACGAATACAACACTCGAAAACATGAGTTACATGTCACATTTTTCTACACTTTAGCCACAGTTGCTTGTTAATTTACCTTTGCCTCGAAGTTGATCCCATGCTGGAATGCTTCCTCGTTGTGCAACGGGATCCTCAAATCATGCCCATCATCAACGAGGTTGTACTTGGTCTTAGCAGGCATTTTCCAAGTGTTCACTACTCCACACTACGACAGGAACCGATACAATACCAACAAAAAACGAACCGGGCCGGTTTAACAGGAGGTAATCCAAGAGAAAAAAGAATTTCAAATCCGGTTAGTTCATGTTCTCCATCGCAGCGAACCGTCCCGGCGTTTCACCGCTGCTCACACCGCACTCAACAGCGGCCAAGTGTAGGGCAACTACTTCACCGGCGCTCCGGCACTCCGCTGCTCTGCTAATGTTCACCGGAACAGCTTTACAAACACATGCAGGCCACCACAAACAGCGACATGCGCGGGGACAGATGTGTTTTCCTGACTTTTCCTGTGGTGAGTGTGGAAGTTGGTTGGGTCCTGCCTCCTGCCCTGGACTCTCCCCCCCGCACGGAGGGAGGGTGTGATTGGAGGAGTCCGGGGATCCCACCTGTTTCCATTGGAACAGAGGCGCACCGTGGCTCTCTGGAGGAGGGGCTGACAGGCTGGTACCTGCCCCCTCTCTTCCCTCCCGTGCTCCACACACACACACACACACACACACACACACACACACACACACACACACACTCATGGGAATAACCTGACTGTAGCTCAGACAAACAAAGGAGTGGCATAGCCTCTACTGTCTGGTCACATTTCTATTCTGTAAACTTTGGCTCTTTTTATTTATTTTTTATTGTCAAATTAATGAATTAATTTTCAAAGGTTTTTTTGAAGTGCAAAATTTGCACTAGGAAAATAAATTACTACCTGTTGGCTAATGTCAGAAAACATTAACCTGTAAGAAAATGATCAAAGACAGTAACTGGAAGATGAGATGGTAATTTACACCCTGGGAATTGATCTGGAATTCAAATCTGTTCTGATGAGAATAATAAATGTTACCATGGCTTTACAGATGGGGTTGATGTGTAGTAAACACAAACCTCTGCCTCCGAATAAAATAAAAAGAGCAAGGCTGCCAACTAGTGGCCATGTCTGCTCCAGAGCCATCATGAAAGATGAAAATGTAAGAATAAGAAGTTATGTGATTTCTTTCTTTCAATTTCTTTTTTCTCATACACATTTACAGTATATCATCTGCATTGTTCAATAAAAGGCTTACATTTTTTTATGAACGATTAATGACTCATGACAAATTGAAATACAAAGACAAAACCTACCACATTGCAAAAAAAAAGTCATACATTTGTTAAGGTAATTTAAAGCTGAAATATTGTCTCCCAATTTTCTGATCCTGTAATCTATACATAAATCCCTTAATATAAACCTAAAGTCCCTTAAATCTCTCAATTTAGTTACTTGTGTTTCCTTTTTCTGCACCATTAGTGGACAGGCTGATCACATATGTAATGACAGACTGAGAAACAACATCCAAAGCTTAACTTTGGGCTTTCCCAGGATTAAACAGTTTTCTAACCATGATCTCAGTACAAAATGTTTAAGCTAAAAATCAAGGGCTACTATTCATTACTGTATGCAAAGTAAGATAGAAAAATCTATACAGCAGTTCCCAGTTGTTAAAACACATATGCTTCTTACTGTACCTGCAGATGGTTAAACACACTTCTCCTCTATTCATCTATGTGGTTTTTGTGTAACATCAAAATGAGACTTAAAAAAACACTGATTCATAATTGCATCAAGGCTCAGAACATATTCATGATGATGAACAATGCTTCACAATGTGGTCTAAAATATTAAAAACACTGTCAGCCTCAACACAATCTGGTCAAAACACACAGCTGATGTAGCCAGCGTAGGACATGTACAGTGATAATATGCTAATTAATATGTGTTGTTGATAATATAAGAAAAGGCCCTTCACACTGAGCATCCTCCACACATTCTGCTCAAGCATCTGGAATCAAAATATCTCTGATGCGAGATATGTTTCATAAAGCACAGTGATATGTGGTCAGTAGCCACAGCAAAGCTGCGTTCATGTTTAATGCAGTCGTCAAGTTGTATAATGCACAGACCATCTGTGTCACCCTGGGAGTAAAGATGCTGTGCTCCCCTAAAGGTGGTCCCAGGCGGGGAGGAAAGGGGAAGTGGGGCAGCAGTAATTCACATTCTCGACACCTCTTTGGAAATATATGAGGTGCTGCTGCTAATGGAGCCCCGAGGGCTGATATGGGAGCAGGATGATGTTGAATTTTATTTACTCTGGATGCTATGGGTTCAAAATCTTGATCTTACTATCAGTTTTTGCCCTCCGTCTTGAACATTAATGAATGAAAATGTAAATATCATCATCCTTCATCAAAGTGATCTCATTTACAGACTGTGTTAATTTTATGAGAGCTGCGTAGGTGATGCATCTTTGAACAAAGTTATTAGAAACAATATGAGACACATCTCCAAGCTTCAAATGACTAAGCCTCAGGTTTTCAGGGACATGTGCATATTAAGGCCCTCACAGCAGTCATACTATTGCCTCTTTTCAATCTCTATGCAGTATTTTGAAGATATCTCCACAAAGGCAGCTGTATTACACTGTTTTTCTTTAAAAGTCCTTGAGGTCAGGACACCTTGCCCTCATGACACCAAAACAGCAAAATGGCAGACACGAACAGCTGCTGTCCCTGCATGAGGAATTATTGCTGAATACAACCAGTTCCCCTCTCGAGGACTCCATGTGCTCTTAAGGCTCTTTAGAAAGGATAGAGAGCAACTTAATCCCTGCCAGGTCTTCAAATACATGTTGATCTGTTGATTAGGGCTTTGGCTTTTAAAGCATATGCTCCCTTCATGAAGTAGGCACAAAAAAACATCATGGTTCCACTTAAAAGCCAAAAAGCAACATGTTAGGATTTCACACCCATGCAGAAAAAAACACAGCTGCAGTACTGAAGCCTCTTTCTGTAGAGAACTGACAGTATGGGTGAGCTTTTCTACAAAAGACCTCAGCCTGCTGGTGTTTCATGGACTCTAGGAGGACTTTATTTTTACAATGCCAGTAATCCTACATAAGACACAGCGCACGTTACATGTATTAGACAAGTCAGATTTAATGATGTGTTTGCCTTCATGTCAGGATATGCTCAAATAGTACCTGTCTGAGGCCTAAAATTAGGGACCTGTTAAGAGTGTACACCACCTCTTATTCACTTCATGTTTGGATATGCTCCAGCCTCTCAGAACAAATGGTTTAGAAAATTAATGGTTGGCTGCAGTGTTAAAGCTAATGTTCACAGGTGTCCGTATTTACAAGGAGCATTATCCCAAAATTTGTAATAGCATCCACAAACACTCAAATTTGGTATGGCAGGCGTAAAATGCATTATTTGCTGCCATTTAAAGAGGCAACAGATAGGAATCTTTTGTTTTTTTTAGCTTGGCGCCACCTAGCCTCAGTGGTGTTGCGTTGCACTGTCTCAACTACCAAATTGACCGTGGGGATCAGAGATAATCAATAAAATGTAGGCTGTAGAGCCACCAGTCTACCTCTATGTATATGTAGAATGAGAAGGTGTGTGGACACTATACTAAATAAATGAGTAAAGAGACCGAGCAACAAACAGTATCAGTACAAACAACTCACAGTAAATTATACCAATATGTACAGTATCAGTACAAACAACAGTAGACACAGTGGAATTATACCAATATGTACAGTATCAGTACAAACAACTCACAGTAAATTATACCAATATGTACAGTATCAGTACAAACAACAGTAGACACAGTGGAATTATACCAATATGTACAGTATCAGTACAAACAACTCACAGTAAATTATACCAATATGTACAGTATCAGTACAAACAACAGTAGACACAGTGGAATTATACCAATATGCACATGTAAACAGTCCCGATTCTAGAATAAACGGTACCGTATGGAAACGATGCGGCCGGTTGGAGCTCAAATTGAATGGGAAACAAAGTCCAGTGTTCACTTAGCTGGGCGTAACTTAGCTGGGCGATGTCCATCGATAGCTGCCTCCATGAGAAGAGAACAGAAGGAAGGGAGGGGGGTATCACTGTCCGAGGGCTGCCGTAGAATGGCAATGAGGATGTCAGCCGACCAACACTCGCTACCCGGTCCCTGGTTGTGGCAATTTGCGATGCTGGCCAGCTAGGAGTTAACTAGCAGCCAGTACAGTACAGTACAGTCCTCTCTTGTCTAGCTAACATTTAGCTGTGTTACTTACTGATCCATTAGAAAGAAAGCTAGCTGGACATCGGTTTTGAAGCCTCTTTGGTCACGGAGCTCCCTCCATCTCTTGAAGGCCTGACTGAGGTTTACTCTTGTTTGTCCTCTTCTTTTATCACTCTCCTTTTTGCTCTTCTTTGCCTCCTCAGACAGAGGAGCTCCTTTTCTTTTGCTAGGCCGTTTTTCACTTGTCTCCAAACTTTGTCCGCCTGCCATTGTGCTCATGACTCAACTATCTCATGCCCAACTCCTCATAAGGACCAGCTCCAGTCCCTGATTGGCTGACCGACCAATTTCGCAATTGGTCGGTTTCCTGCCGAAAAGCAGATTTTTTTCCGCAAAATTTCGGCACCGGTGACAGAAGCTTATTGCAAAGATTGTAAAGCCACTAAGTAACCTATGTAAACGCTGATAGTCTGATTTTACTGTGGCCACTACCCTGTGCAACCCACGTTATTTTCATAATGATATATTTAGGAAAATATGCTATCTGTTGCCTCTTTAAAGCAGATGTGATTGTTATGTGATTGTAGCATCTTTCCAAGTATTCTGATAGCATGTACTTTATTTTTTTGCCAAGAAAGGAGAAGACTACTTGCTGAAATAAATGTATGTAAACAATGCAAGCCTTAAAAGTAAATTAAAGGAGAAGTCCGGTATTTTGCACTTTGAGCCCCATTTCTGGGTTGTTTATGATGAAATCGAGTGGTTAAGACCAAAATTTTGACAATTGCTCCTTTTCGGAGAATTTGGCTTTCCCCTGCCTGGCTTAACAATGCTGTCTATGGCCATGTCTAAATCTGTCCTAAAACCACCCTAAACGTTCGTTTTCAAAGCCATGAAACTCACTCAGTGGTCAGTGGTGTTCATTGATGTTCTGACATAGAAATCGTAAAAATCACTGTGTTGACCACAGACCTTATTTGGGGCAGCTAATCAAAGTCTCATTCCAAAAACCAACTGTCTTTAAGACGAAGGAACCAGAAGTGCAAAAATGTTAATTCATTTACAGGTTTAAGGACACATTCCTGCAGCGCTCTATTTGGACACTTACTATATAAAATCAGACAGACAGTAAAACAGTGCACTTTATAAAAAATAGGGAGTGATACAAGCCAGTAACTATTTCACACAAACCATGTTTTATGTCAAAAGCTTGTCC